AACTTCCCTTACCTGGACAATTGTCCAACTCAACAAGAAGCACCGGGCACAGTCCAGACAACAATCACACTATTCAGGGATCTAGGGCTACAGATAAACAAATGAAAATCCACTCTAATCACTATCCAACATCTGGACTTCATCGGGGCACATCTTGATGCCATAGAAGCCAAGGCATCCCTGCCCTTGAACAGATTCACAACTCTGACAGACCTTACCTCAGAGGTAAGAGTCAGCCCCCAAATACCAGCTCAGACTGTCCTGCAACTGCTAGGACACATGGCAGCCACAGCGTTCATGGTACGACACACAAGACTACATATGCGCTGCCTACAGGGCTGGTTGAGCTTGGCATATATAACCAGCAAGTACAGCCTTACGAATGACTTGCAGTACCACCCCATGCCCTGGACTCTACACTGGTGGACAAGACCAGAAAATGTATGCATGGGGTATCCCATTCCAACAGGAACCCCCACCAATAGTAATCACGACTGATAGGTTGGGGTGCCCACATGTGTCAGCACACGGTCCAAGGCAAATGGTCTCTTGTGGAGACTCAGTTACACATCAGCCTACTAGAGCTATGCACGGACCGCAGTGCTTGCAGACACTGCCTATCTCACATAAAGAACGAATCAATTTGCATAATGACTGACAACATTGCCTGTATGTTTTACATCAGTCACCAAGGGGGCGCTCAGTCTCACTCACTCTGCACTAAAGCCATGAAACTGTGGAACTGGTGCATACACCACAACATAACCATTTCGGCCTCCTATTTTCCTGGCTGTCAGAATGCAACAGCAGACACGCTAAACAGGTACTTCTCTCGAGACCACGAGTGGGAAATGAACGAAGGAGTCCTGCTATCCATATTCTGCCAGTGGGGCACTCCCTCATTGACTTGTTCATTTCCCCAATGAACCACAAATGCACAATATTCTGCTTGTGAGCACGAATGGGAGCAGGATCACTGGGGAACGCCTTCCTCATCACATGGGATGTAAACTCATGTACGTGTTCCCACCAATTCCCCTGATATCACACGTGATACACAAGATACGACTAGACAAGGCGAAAGTCATCCTCATAGTCCTGACGTGGCCCAGGCAAGTATAGTACCCTTACTTGATCTCTCTCACCATCCAAATTTGTCGTCTCAGAACAACGGCGGTCGCACTCTTCACCCAAATCTGGAGAAACCCCACATTCAAGCGTGGCTCCTGTATGGTTATAAAATAAAAAATAAAAATAAATTAATGGAGATATCCCATCTCCTAGAACTGGAAGGGACCTTGAAAGGTCATCAAGTCCAGCCCCCTGCCTTCACTAGCAGGACCAAGTACTGATTTTGCCCCAGATCCCTAAGTGGCCCCCTCAAGGATTGAACTCACAACCCTGGGTTTAGCAGGCCAATGCTCAAACCACTGAGCTATCCCTCCCCCCAATCATGGAGAGGGTTCCATCATGGAGAACTAGCCTGCTTGGAACAAGTTCAACACGTATTACTAAACAGCAGGAAAGTGACCACAGGTAATACTTACCTTCCAAAATGGAAGAGATTTCCTCCTGGTGTCAAGAAAAAAAATTGACGGCCTCCACAACACCGATACCATTAGTGTTGGAATGCCCACTGGAACTGAAACACTCGGGTTTACCAACGAGCTCCATCAAAGTCCATCTCGCAGCCATCACAGTATTCCTTCCTGAGATTGACAGGACCTCGATCTTCACGCACTCCATTACTAAACGCTTCTTTGTGGGTCTCCACAACATTTACCCAGAGGTTCGCCAACCTACTCAGGCCTGGGACCTCAATCTGCTATGGAAATGCCTTGCCAGACCACCATTGGAACCCCTAGCCACCTGTTCCCTCCTACATTCATTCATGAAAGTGGCCTTTCTGGTCACTATTACTTCTGCCAGACAAGTGAGATTGGGCTCTCATGGCCGATCCTCCCTACAAAATATTCTCCGAAGACAAGGTCACACCCAAAATTTCTACTGAAAGTAACATCACCCTTTCATATGAACCAACCAATCCATCTTCCCACGTTCTATCCCAAGCCTCACGAGACTCCAGTCAAGACCATCTTGACTACTAGTTTAGTATAATAAAATGCCCAGGGTACAGTGCCCCAACTTCGTTTGTTAGTAAACTTGCTTTATCTTCCTTCAAATGGGAACTGTGCCCTTTTGGTTACAGCTTGGAAAGACTATCTAGTTTCACTGTAACCTCACAAAGCGCCTCTGCTGAAATGCTGTTTTGTAACTTCCTCCAGCAGTACTTACAATCAATATCACTCTGACTTCTAGAGTAACATATTAGCAGGTCTTTTCTTCCTCTTTCTCCAGCTCCAAAAGCACAACAACACTGGGACTACATTGGGGAATACCCTTTAGACCTCTTTGCATAGAAAGCCATAGGGGCCCTGCACTGTAAACTGCAGACTAACCTAAAAATTCTACCTTTGAAGTGTTCAGTGTGCAAAGAATATTAGGCAGGGAGGCTGCTGGGATGATTTTTTGTAGATTAAAAACCTGGGCTCACTTAGGCTCTTTAGAATTTGTGCCCTAGCAAACAATGCACATTTTCCTGTTGGCAATAGGGTGACCAGACAGCAAATGTGAAAGATCGGGACAGGAGGTGGGGGGTAATAGGAGCCTATATAAGAAAAAGACCCACAAATTGGGACTGTCCCTATAAAATCGGAACATCTGGTCACCCTAGTTGGCAACCCCGCTAGAAAGTCACAGATTCCTCCCCCCGCATTCCTTTTCTTCCTGCAATGTGATCTTGTTTTACCAAAGCTCTAGCTTGTGCAACCTAGTTCACGCTACGTGCCAAGTCACTGGGCTGAATCAGACTTTGATTGGGAAAGAGTTCTGAGTAGTTGAATAAATGTTGTCTGACCCCGATGGTGGATTTTAGATTTCAGATAATAATGTGGTAATTTTCTTAGAACTACCCACCACTCTCAGTGCTATTTTGCTCCTCAGAGAATTTGTAGGCTCTATAATAATAATAATAATAATTAATAATATAATTAATGGAGATATCCCATCTCCTAGAACTGGAAGGGACCTTGAAAGGTCATTGAGTCCAGCCCCCTGCCTTCACTAGCAGGACCAAGTACTGATTTTGCCCCAGATCCCCAAGTGGCCAGGATTGAACTCACAACCCTGGGTTTAGCAGGCCAAGGCTCAAACCACTGAGCTATCTCTCCCCCCTCTATAAACTGGAGAAGGAAAGTTGCTTAAACTAGAAAACTGGAGAAGGGAAGAGGTAAAGACATAGATGTGCCAAATCTGCATGGTCACACACTTGTTTTCCATGTGTTTGGCTGAGATCCAGTGGATGGTGTGGGTGTTGGTGCAGAAAATCAAAATACTATCTAATGGGCTCGTAGACAGCAGAAAGGCACATACCAAAAGTGTGCTTTACCAGACATGACCCGAGGTCTACCCAGCCCTCCAACTGGCCTCCAGCAATTGCCGGTACCTGATGCTGAGAGAAGCACATCCCCACACCCAGCCACACCAACAGTGCACTTATACTAAGCCATGGCCAGGGTGAGGGATTCTGCTCCATACAGTTGAGCAGCGTGTACTTGCAGCAGGAGAAAGATCTCTGCTTTCGCAAATCGTTACAACACAGCTGCTCAGCTACCCCTCATTGTAGAACTCCGCATAAGTCTGTCCCACGCAAACCCACTGTTAGTCACTGCCATTGTTTTAAACTAAATTATCTACATTACAAATGCTGACATTAAGTGAAAACAATGCTTCTCTCTTAAAGAAACAAATCTTGCATTGTTGAAAGCTTGCTGCATAATTCTTCTTCCCTTTGCCCTAAATCTCTCTTTTGTTTGAGCCTTGGCAGATTTAGAGTGCCAGGAACCTAATAGCAAGGTTTGTATCTTGTATAAGAAACAAACGCCACCATCCATTGACCCCTGGTGAGCTGCTCTGATTTATGGAACTGTGTGGTTTTTGCTTGTTTCTGATATATGAGACTTGTGATTCGATGATACATTGAGCAGAAAGGACCCCAGACCTTCTCCTGTTACCCCTGTTATCATTCCCCACAGTGGCAAGTGTACAGCTACTGGCCAAGAGTACACTTTCTCTTTATGCACCCTGCACTGACGCATAGCTGTTCTACTTGGTTATTTCAGAGGCTTTACTGTCCCATGCCCCATTGGGCACAGGTCTGTCTGAAATATCCATAGCTGTGATTCTGCGCATTTGACACTTTTATTATTTATTATATGTATTTTCATAGCACCTAGGAGCCCTAGTGGCCCAGGCCCCCATTGTGGTAGGCGCTTTAGAAACACAGCATAAAGATGGTCCTTGCTGCAGGGAGCTCACAGTCTAAGACCAGAAACAATATATGGAGACTGACAGACGGGAAAGTACAAGTAAACAATGCGACTGACTTTTAAAATGCTTCTTTTGATGTCCCTGACTTCCTCTTTGTGTGCCTTTTTGTTTTCCCCTGGAAATTGCTGCTTTTGACAGCAGTCAGAGTTTACTCTGTGATCATTTAGAAGGGAGGGCAGCGTGTACCTGCAGAAGCCTTTTGAGAGGTAGTTGTAATGCTTCTTTTACGTTATGAGTAGTGCAACTTGTAAAGCATCAGCTTGTGCTTCTCCCTGTCTCCTGTAGGGTCCTGTGATTCTCATTTGTCCAGGGTTTTTATTGTGTATGTGTGTGTGGCAGTGGGAGGGTAGAGGATTGGGGTGAAGGTGGAAGGGCAAGAGAAATCCACCAGGATTCTACAGGACCCAGACTTAGGTGAAGGAGGGCCTTCTGGGGCCAATAATTTTACTCCTGGATCAATCAGAAGAGCAGCTTTGGAGTGCCATGAGGCATTGTCAGTCCAAGCAGTGAGCTTTGGACCAGAATCTGCTCCTCTGATCCCCGGGTGGCAGTATGGCACTTAAATCTGTATTCAATAAGTTAACATTTGCTTGCTTTATTGTTTCTCTCAGGTTGGGGCAGATGGTTTGATGAAGATGAGTGGCTCAGCACTCAACAATGAGTTCTTCACTTCAGCTGCCCAGGGCTGGAAGGAGAGGTTGTCAGAAGGTGAGTGTCTTGCCCTGGGAAGCAAGGAGCTATAAACTGTGAACTTCTGAGGAGTTTCTTCTTATGTGGCATCTCCATTACTGGAGGTTTGCAGCCATGATAGCCCATTTGTTATGATCCTCTTCTAAGCTTTTTGTGGGTAAATAATCCTCTTGATCCCCCAGGATACCACACAGTCTGCCCCCAAGGTCTTCTTTTTCTGCCTTGTGTTCTTCTGCCATCATCTTTCCTTTCCAGTGCCCATAAACGTGCATTGCCTGCTGAACCCCTTAACATGTGCTCTGCAAATCAAATCTTTCTTTTCATAAGATCTCTGACTAGTGTTTGCTGAGTTCCAATCATCTCCAATATCTTTTTGTTGGTTACACAGCTTATATATTTTTAGAATTCTTCTATAACACCATAATTCAAAGAACTGTAATTTCTTTATTATCAATTGTTTGCATGTCCGTGTTTCACAGCAGTAATTTAACACAGGCCAAATGTAAGTTTTTTGGAGCTGGACTTTAATCTTCAGATTTATGTCTCTTCTCATCAGATGTTTATTCTTCCAGAATGTCTCTCACCCTTGCTGTTTTGGTGCTGATTTCAGTTTCTAATCTTCCATCTTCTATAATGATGCATCCTAAAGCAATAATGTCACTTGCTGTACAGTTGTGTCATTCATTGGAATCTTGCATGTTTTCCCAGGATTCTTGCATATCACCATGTCTTATCCACATTCAGTTCTAGACCATACTCTACCATATCCATCCATAATCTCCACCAACTTCATCAGACATTCTTCTGAATCAGCCAACGGCACTTTGTCATCTACATAGTGAATGTTATTCACCCATTTTCCAGTCATCTTAATATTTTCTTCTGTTTCTTTAATTAATATCATCAAAGACTCTCTATAAACGTTAAATAAAAGGTGTTTAGTGAATGCATAATGGAGATTTCAGGGAGAAATTCCAGTCCTATAGTGATTTAACAGGTGAAAATAGCTGCACTCAAAATGGTCAGTGAGGACAAAGTGCCTGCTAGTGGTTATCCAGCAGAGAGGAGGTTTTATTGAAGACTTGTCCTTTGAAAAAATGTGACGTGCAGCACATAATGAGTGAGATGAGGTGATGAGTGAGATGAGGCAGAGATACTTGAAAAGTAAAGTGCTGGGATGGTAGTGGCGATGCACTGTTCTCATTAGAAAAGAGGGACTAAACTGGGGTGACCAAACGTGGCTCACTCATTTATACACAGGTGCAAACCTGTAGAGGCTATAGGTAAGCAGAGTGAAACATTCCATCTTCATCCAAGCCACACTGTAGTTGGAACTGGCAGTTTCTGTGAGCCACACTTTTATACAGAAGAAAAGGGCAGCCATGTGCCACGTTGCAGAACCATGTGAGCTTCATTTGTCCCCTGGGCTGCATGCTGACCACTGCTTCTAAATGCATACAGAGATGTTGTTTATCAAAGCAAGTGAGGCACCATTCTATCTCAATTGCTTCATTTCAAAACGAGTGTACTGAATGTACTAAAATTATGAATGTCAATACATTATTGTCTGGATGACAGTGTGGCAGAAACATGCTTTGTGTACCACTGTCATATAGCTTCATCTGATTGGTTTAGAGAACAGCCAATCTGAGGATTTAGCTGCTAGGTCAGATGCCAAGTTTGGCAGAGCAATATTCCAATCTGTTTGACTGATGCAGCTAATACTTCTCATTCCCACCCATCCCGAGAGAATACTACTTGCCAGTCACCTACAGTGGGATCCATGCTGACACACCCTTGAAGAAAAACGAACTCTTACTCACTCTACAGCAGGGGCTCTCAAACTTCATTGCACCGCGACCCCCTTCTGACAACAAAAATTACTACACGACCCCAGGAACGAGGACCAAAGCCTGAGCCTGCCCAAGCCCCACCGTGCTAGGTGGGGGGGCCAAAGCCCGAGCCCCACTGCCCTGGGCGAGGAGGCCAAACATGAAGCCCAAGGGCTTCAGCCCCAGGCAGGGGCCTGTAACCTGAGCCTCGCTGTCTAGGGCTGAAGCCCTCAGACTTTGGCTTTGGCCCCAGGCGGTGGGGCTCGAGCTTCAGCAAGTCTAAGCCACCCCTGGCAACCCCATTAAAATGGGGTCGCAACCCACTTTGGGGTCCTGACCCACAGTTTAAGAACTGCGGCTCGACAGTAACTGTGATACTTGGAGATGCTGTAGTCGGGGTGGATCCCATGACCCACCCTTCTTCCCTGCTTTTTGGAGTACTCGGAAATCCCAGGCTTTGAGTTGCCAGGGGCCTGAGGAAGGCTGGCTGTTGCTCTGACTTTAATGCTCTTGTACAGGAGCATGAGGAGGCCCAGGGTGCACATGTGGCTTTGAAAAGTTTCCTATCTCACACATGAGGCACATGTGCACCTACAGTGGGATCCACACAGACGACAGCGTATCAAAGAACCACAGTTACTGTAGGGGAACCAACTGGTTATTTTCCACACAGAGAGCACATTACACCATTACTCTGTGATCTGCACTGGCTGCCAGTTGATTTCTAGAAGAAGGTTAAAGTATTGGTTTTGATTTATACAGTCTTAAATGAATTGGGTCTTGGCTATTTGAGAGAACTGTGGCTCTCACAGTGTAATAGTATGGCAGCTAGGATCCTCTGTGGATCCTTAGTTAACAGCTTTGTGGCTTAAATGGAAGTGGTCTGGCATCTATGAGTTCATGGCTTAGAAATTTCCTTCCCTTCCCATGATCTGCCAGAGTCTGGCTTCATACAACACTGCAAATCTCAGCTGTTTTCCCAGCCTTTTTTTGGGGTGGGGAGGAAGATTTGATTGGCAGAGGGGGAGTAATAGGGAGGGGTATATTCTGGTGTGGGAAGGTTTCTAGGTTTACTTGACATGTTTTGATAGCTTATTTTTAACTTTTATGACAGGCACAGTTGGAAAATGAAATAACGTTATTTACCATTTCACTGGGCATTTCTGGACTACAAAAGTGGTGTAATGGCACCCAGCAACACTGCCCAATAGTTTAGAACAAGAAATAAAAAATAATCTTATTTATAGCTGAAATTGAAAGGGGAATTTAAAGAGGCAGAATGCAAGTACCCAAGCTGGAATTTGTTAGGACATTGAGGCTTAATCCCTATTAACTGCAAATACTGCCATAGGATTCTTAAATGACCACAAGACCTTGGTTTTACATCCCCTCTTGAAAGACAGTACGAGTAAACTAATAGTTGCAAGTCAAGGCCATTGTGTTCCATCTGTAATAATACATAGTCTGTAAAAGAAACCTTGCTGAACTAGTTCCCAATGCACTGGTTTATCTAAAAAATGACAGGGATCTGAAGTCTGGCTGTCTCTCATGATTGCAATTGGCCTAATTCTTCTTGTTGATTGACCTTCTTGCTGATATCCCTCTTTGTATTGCAGGTGAGTTCACCCCAGAAATGCAACTGAGAATACGTCAGGAGATTGAAAAGGAGAAGAAGGTGGAGCTATGGAAGGAACGGTTCTTTGAGAGTTACTATGGTCAAAGGTAAGAAACTGGATTGTCTTTTCTCTCATGGCATGTCCTGAGGCACCAGTTCCCAGAATTCAGAGCTCATTTTCTTTCATGGGACCCTCTTTTTCACTGGGCTTCTAAGTTGATTGAGGATTAACTCCATCTGGCTGTAATGGAATCACAGAAAAGACCTATTAGGTCATCTAGTTAATTCCTGGTCTGTGCTGGATTACTCCCTAAAGCGTGGTTTCCAGTGCTTTATCCAGTCTAGCTTTAGTGTTCCTTGCCTGCTGTAGTGGTGGATGTAGTCTAGGCTTCATACCTCTCTTCCCCACCCCCATCCTCACAGTTTTGGGAGGTCCATCTCTTAAGTTTCTCTTGGCATATTCCAGCCAACTAAGTTATTCGACATTTACTTTGTCTTTGATTGTGATTTTTGACCTTCACATGTTCCGCAGCTATGCAGAACCTTGTGAATTCCCTGTGTGTCTTGATTCACACGCTGTTGAGCTGAACTCTCAGAATAAGTATGGTGTGGATTTCACAGATTGTTCTGTCTGCCTTATTCCTAGCTACAAGCAGCCCTGCCTCCCCACTGTGGGATGAGGGTTTGCAGGACATTTCAGGTTCCTCGATCAGTAGCTGTATGCTATAAGAAAGTGAAAAGAACAGAGGTAGGATTGATATTGTAAAAATAATTAATAAAGTGTTCGTCTCTCTACAGAACTTCAATGATGAGGAGCTGTGCTCAGCTCTGGGACATCACCTCGCCTTCTGCCTGTTCATCTGTGCTGCTTTAACCCACATGGAGCTTGGGCTGCTCCAAACCTTACTCTCATGATCATGAGAATATCCAAGCTCTGGTGGGTTAGTGACACAGACGAATGTGGACAGCAGGCGCTGGCCAATAGAGATGAGGTCTTAGTTTGGTAAACTGCCCCAAAGGTGAAGCCCTTGTTTAAAATACACTTGACAACAGTAGACGTCACTAAAAAGTCAAATGTCCTTTCCTGCAGTGTCTCCAGGTTCTTGCAGCAGGGGCATTATTTCAGAAAAATGCTTGTGTGGGGAAGAATGGGGGGTGGGAGGGGAAGCTGTCAGCATAAAGAACATTATATGATTATAGTATATCCTGAAAAGTATGAGGTGAACCAAAAGTGGAAGACATCATGGAGAATATTGACCTATGAAAAGTCAGGGGGAGGGGAGCAGACCAAGGTCTGGGAAGGGCAACTGCCCCTCTTGGCCTGTAGTAAATGATGCCTCTGCACTAGGGACAACACACTAATGGAGATTCCTTGTACTGTACAAGGGCAGGATTGGAGGGAACTGCAGATCTGGTTTCTGCACTTCTCAGAAATGGATACTGTTGTACCACATGACATCTCTGTCTGCCAAGAGTATCTTCTTGAAAAAGACAATGGTTATGAAACTAACATGTGAGAAAGTGTTTAAAAATCATGTTCGTTATCATTGGGCTGGTAGGAATCAATCCCATGGTGCTCTCTGGCTTCAGTAGACATCTGCCTTTTTATTCATGCCACAGACCAAGTTTGTATCAGTACCTACTGGGGGTGAATGCTACATCAGCTGTTTTTCTGGGAATTCAGGTTCAGATTTCCAGCTTGTTCATTTGTTACCCAGGCTGGTGGGGGATTAGGGGCAGTCTAGTGAGATGCTCCCAGCTTCCTGAGGGTGCAGAGTTGAGAAAGATATTAGATGTGGAGATCTTTATTCATCTGCAAACAGAAATGCTCTCCTGGAGGAAGTTTATTCCTTAACTTTTTTAGACTGAGGGTGCTTCAGTACTACACAAAATGCTGAAAAAAATGGTGCACTCTCTTGGGGGGTTGTATCCATTTCCAGATCCCTTTTGTAAACTCCAGGTTGTGAGGTTAAGGTCTAGGGGAGCCAGGTGGAAGTCCTGTGGGTTTGTTGGAATCTCCTACTGCTATATCCAGGGATGGCTGCTTAAAGGGAACTTTTATAACCAGCCATAGTAGCTTCTTGTATGTTGAACAGTTTAACCATTGGTCAAATCCTTTTCAGTTTGTGACCTGGGATAATTAGCATCTGTGTAGAAGGAAAGCCATTGGCCATGTAACTGGGCCCCTTTTGGTTGATTTTTAAAGAGCGCTGCTGCAGGACCATTAAGTTCTGTGTGGGTTGGAAGAGTGGTAGCTACAATGAAGAGCGTCAAAAATGGTGGGCTTGAAATCAGGGGAAATGGTATGTGTGAAGTGTTTCTTTAGGTTCTAGTATGGATACAGAACCCTCTGCCCCCATTTTCATGGCAAAAGAATGCTTTTTTCAGACTTATGTTTTACAAAACATAATTTTTCTTTTTTCTTGTTAGTTCTGGAATGAGTCCTGAAGAATCCAAGAGACTGACAACATACACCAGCACTCCTGAAACACTGGCCAGGAATCCACCAGCTGAGCAGATGAAATGCATGCCAGTCTCCAAGGCACCACCCAGTAAAGAAGAGAGAACTCCTCTGTCAGAGTCTAAAGCACAAGCAGTGCAGGTACCACCCCCAGCAGTGAAAAAAGGAGGAGAGGAAAAAAGAGAAGATGTGCATCCCCAATCAGGCAAACCTGCAGCATCAGCAAATTCCTCAGATAACAATGCACTGAAACTTAAGGACCAAACTCTCTCTAGGCCGCTGAAGGGTCCTGAGGAATCCATGCAAGAGAAGCCACAAGCTGCCTCTGGTCAGAAGCCAGAACAAGACAGACAGCACACTCCATCCAAGGATCTGTCAGTAAAGGAGGACACAAGCACCTCAGCCTTGGCCCCAAACAAACCAAAGATCCCCAAAGCAGGCGAAGCAGTGGCGAGCATGGCGAGTCAAGTGACTCCACAGGAGACACCTAAAAAGGAACCCCCTGCAACTGAACAAATGGATGTCAGTGCTGAGGGCCTCAAGAGGAAGTCAGAGAGTCAGGAAGAAGCACCAATCAGTCCTGAAAAAAAGCCACGAATCATGGACAGCTGCCAGTACCAGCAGTCATTTCGGACCCAACCACAGTCCTTTCCTGCGGCTGGGGAGGGGGCACAGGGGCGAAAGGTTCCCCCACTCAAGGTAAAGGAAACTGGAGACAAGTCCATCATGGGGTTATACAGGCCACTTCCACTGGTAACTCTTACAAAAAAATGTTTTGCCGCTGTTTTGATTTCAATTGTCCATGTAAATCCCGCTATGTGCATGTTATAGTAATGAAAGGGTTTGATACAGGAATCCCAAAGCCCTGCTATTTGGCCACGGGAGTCTTCTGGCCTGCTGATCAGGTTAAATAAGGCTCTCTAAGACATGCACACTTGTCAAAGGGTATTTCAGGTCAATAGAGTGGCACAGTTGTAAAAGCCAGAACTGGAATAATAGGGGACACTATAGATCAATATGGAGTAACACTGGGAAAGCTGTGGAGGAGTCCCCAAGACTAAAATAGCAGGGAGGAGTGTGCAGTGCACTATAGATGTGTGAACATCCCCAAAGACTTGAATAGTGGATGAGGATTGAGGGATATTGGCAGCTTCCCACATTATGTCAAACAAAAAACAGCTATCCACCTCGGCTCAACAGAGCGCCAGGACCTCAAGATGATGTGTCACTCCTTTGGGGCTTGGTGTGACTGACTGGATGCAATGTGCTGTCTCTCAATCCGAGCAGAAAATGGGAAAGACACTTTGGGGAGGCCTCTCAGCTCTAAAAGCCCACCACCCGCTGAGACTTAGCAAGAGCTTAGATTCCTGCTGCAATCTAGATGTAGGAAAGGGAGCAATATATCAGCCACTGGTGTAAGGGAAAAATAAAAGAGAGGCTGTGAAGGGAAGGTTCCTAAATGTGATATATTTATCAAATACCTTTACTACTACTGACCATTTGGAAACCATCCAACTGGCAAATAATGGACATACTTTTTAAGGTCATGTGACACTGTCTCTGCCGACAGGGCTGTGTGTATACAGATCGCTGCAGCTCCTTCACTGCCAGTGTATTATACACAATGATAGAACTTCAAATGTCTACCTCATATGGTAACATTTTCAAAAATTGGCCCCACTTTTGTGGATGCAAAAGCATGGGTACAAATAATTATTGATGTAAAATTGTTCCCACAGTTACTTGCTCCCACAGTTTAGCATTTCTGAATGCTACAGATTTAAAATGTGTGTCTCTTTTCTACTTTTTTCCAGATTCCTGTCTCCAGAATCTCCCCGATGCCATTTCTTGCTAGCCAGGTCTCTCCCAGGGCTTACTTTCCAACCTCTGTCACCAGTCCTGGAAGAACAGGGGCCAGGACTTTGGCAGACATCAAAGCAAAAGCCCAACTGGCCAAGGCCCAGAGGGCAGCTGCTGCAGCAGCAGCAGCCGCCGCTGCTGCCTCCAATGGGGGAGCCATCCCAGGGCCTGGTCCAGGAGGTGGTGGTGGCCCAGGAGGGGGAGGAAGAGAGGAGAAGAGTAGTACAGCAACAAATGGAACCAATGAAACTGGAATTAAAGGCAGTGCACTGGAACTGGCAGGAACTGGAAGCGGGGGAAGTACGAGAAGGCCTTTTCCCCATTGTCCAGGGACCCATTCCCAAGCGGAGACCCAGGCCACAGAGCGGACATCACCTCTCAGTGTCTCTAGAGCACAACTACAGCAGACGCCCACAGTACAATCCAGAACTGCAACCAGCAACAAAGGCAAAGATTCATCATCACCAGCTCCACCAGCATTAGAGAAAATGAACAGAATAAAAGTGAGCCCTCCAAATGTGACTGTAAGTCAGGTTTCCAGACCATCCGTGGTCTCAAGCCACATCTATACTCTCAGTAATGACAGACAAGAGAAAGCACCTTCAGCTCCAGCAGCTCTAAGCCAGATCTCAGGGGCACCGCCTGTCAGGGACGAAGCAGTCTATGTCAATGTATCCAGAGCAGGTGCTGACAAAAATGTGACTAAGTCAGCACTTACTGCCACCGAAGAGATCAGCTTAAGTATTCCTAAGAGCAAACCTCTTTCCCCTCGGATGTCTTCGCAGGCAGTGGTAACCTCAGAAACTCAGGCTGCTGTTATGGTAGCATCTACTATCTCTACTCCATCCTATAGCACTTTGTCAGTAGCCCCTAGCCTTAAAGTACATATAGCTCCCTTGAGCACAAGTGGGCCCCTCCTGAAGACAAGCTCCAGTATTCCTGCTAACAATCCCTTGGTCACCCAGCTGCTCCAAGGTAAAGATGTCCCAATGGAACTAATCATGCCTAAGCCTCTCACCAAAGTAGAAATGAAAACTGTCCCACTAGCTCCAAATGAATCAAAAGGGTCGGCATTTTCCAGTGCCACAAGCACAGCTGGGAATGGCTCTGGAGGGGAAAGTGGTGAGAGACAATCAAATTTAGCCATGCAGCAACTTGGAAAGATATTTTTCCCAAGCAGGCAGTTGCCCCATGTTCCAAGGACCTTTCCCCTCTTTTCCGGAAAGGACCTGAGGAGCACTAGTATTGACCAATACCAGTGCCAAGAGGCACTCGACAAAGCCACTCAAGAGCAGATCCTTCAGACTCTTATCAAGCGGGTCCAGAGGCAGAATCTATTCTCAGTCTTGCAGCCTTCACAGCTCAGCCTTGTTCACTCAGGTTTCCAGTTAGACAACAGCTCCACCAGTCAGAGATTCATGCTGGGTTTCATGGGCAGGAGGACATCCAAGCCTGCCATGTCTGGCCATTACCTGCTGAATATTTCCACCTATGGTCGCGGGTCGGAGAGTTTCAGGAGAGGTCTGTCCATGAATCCTGAGAACCGCTTGTGTCTAAATGATCCTTCCGATGATCCAAAAATAGAATTTGGGGAATGTGAAGAAATAGCTGGCAGCGGTAGCAGCAGTGATGAAGGAGATGCAGATGATGAGAGTACTGGTGATGAACATGAACATATCATTGTAAAAGAGGAATCCCTGGTTTCCCAGGTCTCTGGCCAGCATGAAAGAGAACAGAGATCACACAGTGTAAATGCTTCTTCAGATTGCAATTTGCCTGTTAGACAGAATGTAAAGAAGGAGGCCGTCTTATCTCAGCAAGCAGCAGCCAGCCAGGAGAGTGTTCACCAGTTCCCAGGAGGCCAGGTGTTTGATGGAACTGCATTAGCAAGAGATTTAATTCAGGCAGCCCAGGAGCAAATGGCACATGCTATGAGGGGGAAAATGATGCACAGCAAAGCTGAGGCTTACAGCGCTTCTGCACCATCTGCAGACTCTGTGTTGCAGCAGCCTCCACTGCTTTCCCATTCGCACCCTCCAAAGCTATATGGAAACACTGCAGCACAGCTCATTGGTCCTAGTTATAGTGGCACTATAAATGTCTCCACCTCTCCCGACGTGAACCAAGGGTCTCTCATGACTGGGCTATCCGAGTGCAATCAGTTGGCCAGTAGCATGGGGAACGTCATGTCTTTCTCTGTGACTGTAACCACCATTCCCGCCAGCCAGGCTATGAACCCTGGCAACCACAATCAGACCATCCCAGTTCAAGCCTTTGGTGATGACAACAACATGGAAGATTCGCCTTCTAAATGCTACTGCAGGTTGAAAGCCATGATCATGTGCAAGGGTTGTGGTGCCTTCTGCCATGATGACTGCATTGGCCCCTCTAAGCTCTGTGTCTCCTGCCTTGTAGTACGGTAACGGAGACATACGAGAAGAGGAGAAGGATGGCTTGGTTTTGTGCCTCCTTTTGAAATTCTTCGCCGGAAGAAAGAGGAGTTTTACTGCCTTGCACAAGAGACACATTACTGAATCAGGAATACAGAGTAGCGTTCTTCTTTCATTGAAGAAAGAGCACCTTGTTGTATAGTGAGTCTAAGCGAGCTCAACTATGTGAATTGTGACAAGAGTTTGCACTTAAGGAATCATGTAAATATGTCACATTATTTTGTTTAAAAATTATTTTTTCAATCTTTTAGGAGACAATGTTTGACTTGTACTGCAGATTCATTAACCACACCTCCTATCAGTCTCTATCCCAGGTTAGCCTAAGCTCTGCTCTATATTAATGAGAGAACTTCCAGCCAAACTTTAGCCCCTTGGTCTTTCCATGGCAAAAGAGAAGAACAGGAAAAATTAAAAGAACTGGGAGCTCGAAAAGATTTAAGCCTTTATACTATCTGGCACAGAATTTTGAGGTTTGGCGCATCAGTTCAGGGTTGGCTCAGTCTTTTGTTAATTCGGATGTTTGGGAAGTGGGAGGCATTAGTGTTATAACAGCCTTTCAAATGGTTGCCTATCAGTTTCCCCCTGACTCTAGGTTTCTGGAAGCCAAAGTGGGTTGTGCAATAGTGGCTGGGGTTTTTTGGTTGCATATCATTCCCTTTCCAACTCATCAGTTATAACAACATTGTCCATGGGAAGGCAACACCTTTGTTCTCAACTACTTCTGGGAGATTGAAAAGGCAACTCTAGTAGTCATCATCTTCAAGAACTCAAGTAATAAAAAGCAACTAGTGACTATCAGCAACTCTAGGAGACCATTTAAAGCAGAGATCTCTAATATGAATTGAACTACATGTCAGAAACTTGCTTTATTAGGCATTACAGTGTTAGTACTGAGATGTCTCCCCCCCCCAGTTTCCAACCATCAAACATGACAATACATTACACAAGTTAAACGCACTAAATGACACCTGCTGACATATTGTTTGCCAGGAAGCTTGCCATGGCTAATGAGGACCTCCACAATAAGCTAATTTATGTAGATCATATATCTAGCTAAGTGCAAGGCATGGAACACAAGGGTTGGGTTGTCTGCATCATTGTCCCCTGAGGACTTTTCTTCAAGTTTCAAAACCTCAAATCCTTTGGCCTGATCTCCAGTTTTTACTCAGAGACCCAGGATTCTAGCAATAGAAGTCATAAGTCAAGAATGAGGAGCACTGGCAGAAGTATGTGGGATCATAGGACTGGCATAGTGGGGGCTACTGTCATGAATGAGATTACTGGCAAAGCTGTGTGTGAGGAGATTACCCAGTGCTGGCCTATCTAATGCCAGGTTGCAGCTAGTGATATCAATCCTTCACTCTCAAAAGCATTAATATTCACAGTGTCGCCCAAATTAATCAATCAGAATTGAACAGGTATTACAGCACCATCATCTCAGCAACGAGAATGTATAACAGGCAGACCAGTAAAGTACTGAAATGCCCATCCCTTCCCACAGTGTGAGAGTTAAGCAAACTCCAACTCACATTTCACAGTATCAAAGCACTAGGTTATCTATAGGTCAATTCCTCTTCCCAGCAAAGAACATCCGGCTCAAGAATCACATCCAGTTCCAAGTTGTCTGTTTGAGAAACAAATATGTTGATTAGATAGAAATTCATGTATCTTTTTGATGAAAGGGCATAGAAATCACTTTTAATCCAAAGGCATTTTTAAAATGAAGCAATATTTAAAAAGTAGGTGTGATAAGTTCTCAGTAGATATCCCATTAGCTAGTCCTCTCAGAGCTTTGGGCTTTTTCCAGTTTGAATTACTCCTCCTCCTTCCCCTCCCATGAAAAGAGTGTCTGGGGGGCTGTTGTTAAATATAGGCAATGTAGATCACTGTACATAATGCATTTTATTTGGCAATTTATTTGTTGATAAGAAAGTTGAGTGCCTAAGCCCTCGATACTGAAAAATATCTCCCTCCCTGCCTGTCTGTGGGTGCCACCTTCCAAACAGAGATCATCAACTGTGAAATATCATAAACTGTATTATATTCCTATCTTCAGTCTTGCTCAGCCTAAATTTGTTGGGGGAGTATGTCCCCTAATTGTACCTGGGTAAATATTTTTAAATCCATCGCTCCATGGCAGAAAAATTAACACCAACAAAAGTAGCACCTTGTTTTTTCTGACAAGCCAAATATGCACTGTCAGCAACATTTCACCAGTAAGCAAACAATAGCACCAGATTTGGCACATACCAGATGCTAGAGCTAGTGCTGCTGGTGTGCATACAGAAAAGCAAACCAAGCAAAAGAACCATTTTGGCTTCTGCGGTGCAAAAACACTTATTCTGTCATAGAGGTGTATTTTTGTGTTACGGGCCTAGTGCATTCTAGAGCAAGTGTCCATTAGGGTAGTAATGCAATACTTCCAATTCGCCTCTTCCCCAGTGCAAGAAGCAGTCCTGCAGCATCCTTTGAATTCTGGGATACAGTGCCAGATGGCTATTATGGTATCCATCTGCACACAGCTAACTGGCAACTCAAATGAACAAGACTCCTGTTCTCTGAAGCACTGAGAGAGAGAGATCCATTTCTCAAGTCTCAGAGGGGTAGCCGTGTTAGTCTGGATCTGTAAAAGCAGCAGAGAGTCCTGTGGCACCTTAGAGACTAACAGACGTATTGGAGCGTGAGCTTTTGTGGGTGAATACCCACTTCTTCGGATGCATGACATCTATAAGGTGCCACAGGACTCTTTGCTGCTTTTACATATCCATTTCTGTTTCCTTGCTATCTCAGGGCTTGTCTACACAGGAAAGTTTTACCAATTATACCGGTATAATGAGTTATCTTCTTCTTTTTTGCCACTTCCCTAATCAGGGTCAACAACTTTTATAGCCTTCTTCCAAAGGCTTCATGATTGTACGCCTGGCTGTCCTGCCAATTGGTCTAAGGTCAGTTGATATCCAGTCTGCGTACCGAGTTTTTAGTCTCCCCATTGGTCATAGGTACACATAACTCTTCCTTCCCAACTGACATAAACTAAACCAAAACAGGCACTCCTTTGCTGGGTCTATGCAGTCCCACAGTTTAGATTATGGGACCTGAATTGCAATGCGCATTAGCATGACATGCTGTAACTCCCCTGTGTGGATGCTGCAGGCGTGAACTAAAGAGTACCTAGTTCTTGTTGACTTAGCCCTGTTTAAAACACAAACTAGATACCTTTTCGTTCTCGCCCCCACGTGGCCTGTGCAGGGGAGATACAGCTTGTCATGCTAGTGCCTACTGCAATTCACCCCCCATTCCAAACTGGGGGTCATGTAGACAAGCCCTTACACCAGAATAATAGTGATGTCCAGGGGGAGTTATATTGGTATAATTATATCCGTTTTTAAATCCACACCTTAGTTGATACAGGTGTAATTTTCCTATGTTGACAAGCCTCATAAGAAGGGAGTAGAAGACATTAAGGGAACAGCACAAAGTGGCCTGTGGGCCAGTTTGTGTTAGTTGGGATTTTATACCTGTTGCAACTTTCACTTTAAAAGACCTGAAGTTTTATTTTCAGCAGTATATTTTAAAATAGAAGTAGAGCCCCTAATTTTGATTCTAACCCTCAAGTCCCTTACAAATTGTGGTGTCACTTCAGTTGGAGTTTGCGTGTCTGGCTTCCCATGTTCTGTACACCTATTTCTCTGTGTGATGCTGCTTGTGAGTCATAAGTAGCTGCTGTTGCATGAAATACTATTGCAGGAACTGAATTACTTTACAGAGTCATTATCCCAGCAAGAAGGGAACTAGATCTAGTAAGTGTCCCTTTTGGATTTGTAATGACCACTAAGATGTCAGTAGGACTCCACAGTCCTTTTTAGTGGTCACTATAATCTTATTAGATGGTGATCTAGAGGTTTACAGCTCAGTTTAGTGCCTTAGCTATATTTGGTTGGGTCAATAGTTTTACAGTTGCTACCCCTTCCCAATACGATGAATCCTCTTGCCTGGAAGGTTTTGATCTTACCACAATTAAACAAGCTCTTTATCTGGAACTTGATAGAACAGTATCCCTAGGTTCACCAGCGGGCGTTACATGGCTAGGTAACCATTAGAAAGGATGGGGTTTGGATTACTGAACATTTCAACAAGAATAGGCCTGCCCAAAACCATGAAAGCTTTGCACATTTCACAGTGCTGGGTATTGAATAACAGTTGTTTCAGATAGGAAAACCTGAAGCCAGAGTAGGAGTATTCCCTTTGTCAGTCAGCAGTCTTAGTGCTGAGACTTTTCCCTTCAACCCCAGTTCTTTCTAATCGTCTGTCCTAAAATGTTTCCTCCAGCAAAATAATAAACTTTTCCTATTGGCTACTGGTAATCAAGGGACACTGTGGAGTAGTTTAGACATAACATTTTTGGCTTTGGCATCCAGATATTACAGTGATAGCACTTTATAATAAATGCCAATGTAAAAAATAGAATACTCAAAATATTTTACAACATCTAATGTCAAAGCAATGTTTGTGACATAAAACATTACAACAAGAAAAGGTTATTTAGATTTAAATCTTCCCCTGATTGGATTGCAATCCAGACCCTGCAGCATGAGAACCAGAAAGTGAAACTGATCAGTCTAGTTTCACAGTTCAGTGCAAAGAATAAATACTTTTATATACACATTCCATGAATGGAGAAGTAAATGGAACTTTAGAAATGATTTTCAAGTTTCTGAGAGAGCATTAGTAACAGGGAAGGAAACTTGTTTTTAGGTTGACAATGTCTCTTTTTAAATGTGAGGAAAAGACTGATACTATGTAAACGATGGACCCTATCGGCAGAGTTGTACTTAAGTTTGCAACAGTAAAAATGTTAAGGAAGCCATTTCCTGGAAGTTAATTATTGGACATATGAGTCACTTCCAGATGTCCTCACAGCTGGTCATTACTGCTTAAATTATGTCAATTTAAATTGTTCTAGAGGCTGTTAAGATGATTATGGGCCCAATTCTTTCTCACTCACATGAGTGGTCCTGTGGAATACAAGAATATACGTGTGAGCAAAGGCTGCAGTGCTGGACACACTAATTGGAACTGGGCTGTGTTTGCTTTAGTCCAATGAGGAAGGCTTTCCGCATTTCATTTAGAGTAATTTTTCAAAAATAGCCACCAGTTTTAGGATGCCTCAATCCTGGGGACTGGATTCTGCTGAGTGTCTACAATTTCAGCTTTCAGCACCTCTGAAAATCAGGCCTAAGGATATTAGGTGGAGCACTCAAAATTGAAGATCACTTCTGAAAATGTGACTGTTACAGTGGGGGTGTGAGGACAAGGGGTGGCATCCTCCCGTTTGGGTTTTGCCACCTGTTGCAGCTAGCATGGCTTTTATCACAGGAGGGGAGGAGCCCATTGTTAGGAAGTTACTGCCTATGATATCTCACAGCTCTGGAAACTATCCTCAGTTAATCCAGAGTGCATGAAACCAGCATGTGTGAGAGAGAGTCTCTTAGAAACTTCAAGTCCTGTTGCCACCAGGGGGGAGAATGGCTTAAACATTTGCTACGATGACGATGAGTTTTCTTTGTTACTTTTTTTTAATGCTATACGTTTGATACAAAAGATCAATTTTAAGAGCTTACAGTAATATATTTTAAGTAATATATATTTTAATATTTGTGTAAAAAATGACAAAGGAAGATTTGTGAACTAGATATACAGGGTATTGTGTGTGTGCAGTTTCTCAGCAGGGCCGAGACGATTTCCCTAGCAGGGGAACTGAAAGCACTTGGGTTTTCCATTAATGCAATAAAAAGTCGGGATTCTTAAAACAAAAATTCAATAGTGTTTACCAGATGATCTTTCATTTTGTTGGCCACAAGGCTTGTAAACATGATTTAGAAGATGATAAACTTTTGTCTGTCTTTTGCCTTTTTAAAAGGGACTTAAATTGGAATAGAGGGTATGTATAGAAAAATCAAGGTGACACCATTTTAAAAGTCGTATTTTTTCACAAATAATATAGAAGAATCATATTTTACATAAGAATTTTAAGTATTTGAAAAAATATGTATATAAATATACTGTATGTACTTCATATATTCTTTTATTTTACGTTTAATTGTATTAAAAATATTTGAGCTGGTTGGAGTTCCTACCTATGTATTAATGTAAAACAGAGAGAGATGAGCACTGCCTCTTACCATTGCAGCAGCAGATTGTAGGGCAGCAAAAAGGCTTGAAGCTCAGCAAAGAATGAATTGGAATAGTTTAGCTGGTTTAGAAATACAGTACAGACATTTTTTTCAGTCCTGTGTCCTGTTTGTGTCCCCGTTCATGCTCTGTCCCATTTTGCCTCATAAACCCCCAGAACAATCAGTGGTGAGAAGACAAGGAGTTGAGGTGGAACTTTATACAAGCACTGCCAAAGAGACAGACTGGTACAAAGCCACTCAACTAAAATCAAAAGCAACCGTTAGAATTTTAATAAATGTAGCTAAGAGTTTAATTCTTGTGTGATCCTCTGATAGTGCAGATGGGGAATGAATACAACATGCCAAGAGCCTCAGTACATTTGGGATTTCAAGGCAACACTCTCTAATGAGTTTTCTTTTGTAGGCTCTTGGGTCCAATATCACTGTAGAGGGTGAAGTGTGCGCTGAGTCACCACTGGAAGATGGAATGGGTTCTCTGCTCCTGTACTTGGGCAGGACCCCTAGAAAACTCCCTACGGGGAAGCACTAGTAAATCTGCTGAGACTGCTGGCAACATTCCTCATAGGAATTCTGTTTACAAGATGCTGTAACTTGCATACAAGGATTCCCAGAGGTACAAGATCACAAATTATATGAATATAAAAAGGACAAAATTCTAGTTAGAAGGGAAATGATAGGTGGCTGCAGACTACAGTAACAATCAGCTATGATTCATGTGCATTATATACAGCACATCCAGTGCAGTTTACCTAATAATGGGCCCAAACCTGTGAAGTGCTCAGCATCTTCAAGTAACACTGAAATTAGTAGCAGCTGAGGTTGTAGTGCACGTTACAGGATTAGGCTAAAGTCCATAGTGTATGTGTCACAGCTGATTTGTACTGTAATATCACATCCATTCCCCCACACCCAGTAATTACCATCACAGATCTGTCTGGTTTATTACATAAACAGTAAAGCTCTTATGACAATGTTCAGGGTTATATTAACCCAATCATTCAGGAACACAATACATTTAAGTTGCTGCCCTTTTGATCAGTGGCTCCAATTCTGGGGCTTCCTCTGTCCCACGGACTCCAACTCTACACACATACAGGGGCTGTAAAGCTAGCAAATCTCCCCAGCAGGAAAGGTCTCCCCTTGGTGGCATAAGAGAGACAGAATTGACTCTCTGTCAGTCCCTGGTGTGGGGTAATACTGAGTAAGGGAGGAGGCCTGGCTAGAACTTACTGCACTCTGGCTATTCTGGGCTGACTGAAGGCTCAAGAATCTGATGCATAAAGGTGAAACACAGACACATTTGCCCCTTCACCTTTTGGGTGGTGCTGTGCTCAGCTCAGGTGTATCCCCAAATTGGAGCCACTGTGTTTACCATAGCCCAAACCGCCCTGCAGGAACTGCTGGAATCTCTCAGATAAACAAGAATTGTGTTTACAATAACTCTTTGTGATCGGGGTTCGTGGGAAGGGAAATTGAATGCAAAAAAGCCTATTTGATTTGTGTTAAGGGTTTGACTTTAAAGAAAACTCAAAGACAGTTTTGTTGTTGTTATGATTATTTTCCAAACACCCCAAAATATGCCAGGCCTCTGTTTACATACACATCGTGAGATCGTTTTTTAGTAAAGTCATTTTATCTTTCTATGAATTGCAATCTGCACATTCAAAGGGTTTTCACTCTGAACAGTTGCACTAGAAGAAGGTTACACTGTTTGGGTGTGTATATGTATATATAACTAGAGTGTATATGTGTGTGTATATATACAACTATATTTTACATAAATGTACCTAAAAAGGCTGTAAGTCCATCTCAGGATTCTGGTGACATTAATTTTGAGAACAAAGTTTGAGTTACCACAAGCCTGATGTAGAGTTACAGCTTTTACATTTGTTTTAATATTTAAAATATATGGGTTAGAAAAAAATATACAGTATGTGTTGTTTTGATCTGCTGCACTTTGTCTAAACATTCCTAGTCCCGCTGGTACTGCTGCAGCTCCCATCCCTTCCTGCCCCATTTAGAACTTAGAAACCAGCTTTTCCCCCCTGGGTTTTCTTTCAGTGGCACTTCTCAGAGGCTGAATCGTGTTTCTATTCAAAGAGCTGTGCCAAGAGTTTAATATTCCTGGGTTCGGTCTTTTATAATAAGATGTCACAGCTGAACCCCAGTCCCAACACTGGGGAAAGTGAGCTGATAGTTGATGCGGCCAGTTGGCAATTGGATTCTAAAATAGTCCCTTTGCAGACTAGCAGAGTCAAGCGATCCAACTTAAATAAGAAATAGTCATTTTCTGTTGTTATCCAGTGATAAGTTGGTACTGAACAATAAGATTATTGTAATTCACTCTCCTCCTTAATAAGGAAATGACCCAATTTCCAGGCTTTTAAAAAAACGTAATGGGTCAATTCCATGAAACCAGCAATCACAGCAGAGAGATGTGTGGCCCATAACATTGCAGATTTGCAGATTGGCACAGTTCATTCTAGTAAACTGATTCTCTCCCCAAATGAAAAATAAAAATAATGTTAAGTCTGCTTCGGGGTCTGCTGTATAAGATTCCACCTTAGCTTCTCACCAGCATTAAGAAGGATCGGAGGAGTGCTAAAAACAGCATTTGTATCTTGTCACTTTGAGATATGTGTGTCCATAGGAGGTAGCACTTTGAAAAGCGAAAGCCTGCCTTGTGGCTTATGTCTTATTGCAGATTAAGTTCCTCTTCCTCTCACTCCTTATTTTTGTCATGTAAAACTACCTGCTTCATAAATGAATGTAAAATACAGTAGTTCTTCAGCACATGGATAAATGTGTATTTTATCTTAATGTTTCATTTTATGTTAAATAAAAGCATATGATTTTATGGTCACCATTGTTGTTAATGTCTTTTTAAATGCTGCTCTCTTCTCCTTCAAGAACATGAAGCAGCAAGCTACACAACGCTGAATGACTTAATTTCAGGTCCGGTACTGCAGGAATGCCAAGTACGATTTTTTTCTAAATCATCTCCCTAGATTTCATGGGGAAAGATTTGTTGTGAACACCAAGTTGTTGTTAATCATTTTGCGTTTCTCTTGTGTTTCATCTGAGGATCTCCAATTGCTTTAGAATTACATTAGTGCACTGTAAAATATGAGTAAATATTACCCTCATTCGCATATGAGGAAACTGTGGCATGGACACACTGGCTTTCCCAAGGTCACTTATTGAGTCAACAGTCAGGAATAGAATTCAGGTGTCCTGTCTCCCAGTCTTGTGTTCTAACCACAATACAAACTTCAAACCTGGCAGAGTGTGTTCTCTCCTCTACGGAATCATCAGCTTTCTCCCGTCTTCTCCTGCAGTCCAATCTGTGAAAGTGCACCCCATTGGCAAGTATGATTTTTCCAGCTGAAGCAAAAGTGTGCACAGTTCTGCTGGCATAATAACAGAGTGTAGAGTTACGGAGCCATTCAGCGATTTCAGGCTGGCAGCAGCCCTGGTCTGCCAACAATGTGATTCTTCCCAAGCCTCCTGCACCTGATACTGACTCTGTTCTAATTTTCTCTCCAACTCCTTCCTCTTATGGGAAAGAGCTAACTGCTCCACTGAGGCAACACGCAGCTGAACGTTTATGTTCTGAATTCCACTATCCCTTTCACCTCCTTAGCCTTTCCTTTCTTGTGCCCTACTTCCATACCGAACACATGACTCATAAAGTCCTATGGATTAGAATGCTCAGAGATGAACTGAGTGTCCTTCAACTGCACCACACCTCCTCCATGTTCCTTAATATATTTCCTTACAAAGATTTCCAAAGCCATGCTCCGGGCAACCCCAGAACTCCCTGCTAACTCCATTTACTCACTCTAACCCTAAATTAAAAGTCACTTACATTCTACTGGCTAGCCTAATATATAATTTCTAACAAGATACAATAAACATGTAATACTATAATGTGGAGGCATCCCTCCTAAATGGTAACCCATAAGAATGGCCATAGTGGATCAGACCAAAGGTCCATCTAGCCCAGTATCCTGTCTTCAGACAGTGGCCAATGTCAGGTACCCCAAGGGAATGAATAGAACAGGTAATGATCAAGTGATCCATCCCGTCACTCATTCCCAGCTTCTGGAAAACAGAGGCTAGGGACACCATTCCTGCCCATTCTGGCTAACAGCCATTGATGATGGACCTATCCTCCATTAACTTATCTAGTTCTTTTTTGAACCCTGTTATAGTCTTGGTTTTCACAACATCCATAGGTTGACTGTGCGTTGTGTGAAAGAATACTTCCTTTTGTTTGTTTTAAACCTGCTGCCCATTAATTTCATTTGGTGACTCCCTAGTTCTTGTGTTATGAGAAGGAGTAAATAACACTTCCTTATTTACTTTCTCCACACCAGTCATGATTTTATAGACCTCTATCATATCCCCCTTTAGCTGTCTCTTTTCTAAGCTGTGAAAAGTCCCAGTCTTATTAATTGCTCTTCATATGGAAGCCGTTCCATACCCCTAATCATTTTTGTTGCCCTTTTCTGAACCTTTTCCAAATCCAATATATCTTTTTTTGGGATGGGGCGACCACATCTGCACGCAGTATTCCAAGATGTGCGTGTACCATGGATTTATATAGAGGCAATATGACATTTTCTGTCTTATTATCTATCCCTTTCTTAATGATTCCCAACATCCTGTTTGCTTTTTTGACTGCCGCTGCACATTGAGTGGATGTTTTCAGAGAAATATCCACAATGACTCCAAGATCTCTCTTTTGAGTGGTAACAGCTAATTTAGACCCCATCATTTTATATGTATAGTTGGGATTATGTTTTCCAATCTTCATTACTTTGCATTTATCCAAATTGAATTTCATCTGCCATTTTGTTGCCCAGTTACCCAGTTTTGTGAGATCCTTTTGTAGCTCTTCACAGTCTGCCTGGGACTTAACTATCTTGAGTAGTTTTGTATCATCTGCAAATTTTGCCACCTCACTGTTTACCCCCTTTCCAAATCTTTTATGAATATGTTGAATAGGACTGATCGCAGTACAGACCCCTGGGGGTCTGAAAACTGGCCATTTATTCCTACCCTTTATTTCCTATCTTTTAACCAGTTACCAATCCATGAGAGGATCTTCCCTCTTATCCCATGACTGCTTATGAAGTAGCTTTAACAATTAACTTGAACAAGTCACACAGAAAAAAGCATAGGATTTGGGGTTTACTCCCTCTCTTCCCTTAATGGTTAGCATGTTACCAATCAAGAGGTGTTTGCTCTGTCAGGCCCCACAGGGTGCAACGGCGAGCTGGCACAGTCTGTCCTCAATAGACGGATCAGTGGGTAGCCCGGGAGAGCAGGGGGACTAACCTAAAGTAGCGCAGACCTACACAGGTTCTGAACTTCTGTGGCCTTCCTGGAAGCACAACTAAAACATAAATCAACTCTCCTGCCACCTCACAGTGTGCGTCATTGGGCTCCGATGTGCTGCAATTTCAACTTCAGGTACCTCAATATTGCAAATTCAACAAAGCCCTCTTAACATGTCTATAAACTTTAAACACACAACCCTCCCCCCCCCCCAATCTTGCACGATTCAACAAAACCCACATGTGACGAGTTAAGATAAAAAAAAAAAAATCAAGCACTACCGCTGAGGGATGGGAAAGACGCAATAAAAGCAAAAACACCACAAAAACCACACCAGGAGCAATAATGTGTTGCCAAGAAATAGCCAAAAAGGTGCTGACATGCCCGAGAGAAAACATGGGGCACAATGAACCCTATTGAACTGAGTCAGAGACAGCTTGTGCTCTCTAATGCTGGTTTACTCCAGGTAAGTCTCCTGCGTGTCTGACACCTGAAACACCTGAATAACCTTGCCACACGCTACTCGAGTCTCCTGCCTGGCTCACCATTGTTGCCTGATTCTTTCTGAAGGTTAATAATATTTGTATTGATTGCCAATTGATCAGCAGGTAATAAGGTTTTTGTCCCAGAATCAAGCTACCCAGAATTAAAACTAATGAGTTCAATATCTTGTAGGGAGCCTTAAGGTGTCTGGCAAGGACACTCACACTGAGGTCAAAGCCTTAATCTTTATTAAAGTAATGAACAAAGCCAGAAAAGCTGCAAGCCACATGAAAAGTAGTGGGGCGATCTGTAAAAGCAGCAAAGAGTCCTGTGGCACCTTATAAACTAACAGACGTATTGGAGCATGAGCTTTCGAGGGTGAATGCCCACTTCTTCGGATGCATGTAGTGGAAATTTCCAGAGGCAGGTATAAATATGCAAGCAAGAGTGAGTCAGGCTAGAGATAACGAGGTAAGTTCAATCAGAGGGGATGAGGCCCCTTTCTAGCAGTTGAGGTGTGAACACCAAGGGAGGAGAAACAGTCTGTTAGTCTATAAGGTGCCACAGGACTCTTTGCTGCTTTTACAGATCCAGACTAACACGGCTCCCCCTCTGATACGGGGCTATCTCTGGTAGTATTTTATGAATATGCTCTTAAATCTGCATACTTATGCCCTTCCTTGAGGATCTGGTGGTCACAGACAAAGGACTAGCCCTGTCTCTGGCATGCCAAATGAGTCTGATGGTCCAGGTACCTCAATGCCCGAGACGGATGATAAATAACAATAGAACTGAAGGGTCAAAGGATGGAAAGCGCTCACTAAGCTAAAGAAGAGTAACTCACCATGTGGTGGTTTGTCCTATTATAGGGCCTGAGCACCATCCTGAAGGTTTAAAACAAATAAAAGGAAGTTCTTCACACAGTGCACAGTCAACCTGTGGAACTCCTTGCCTGAGGAGGTTGTGAAGGCTAGGACTATAACAGGGTTTAAAAGAGAACTATTAGCCAGGACGGGTAAGGAATGGTGTCCCTGGCCTCTGTTTGTCAGAAGGTGGAGATGGACGGCAGGAGAGAGATCACTTAATCATTACCTGTTAGGTTCGCTCCCTCTGGGGCACCTGGCATTGGCCACTATCGGTAGACAGGATACTGGGCTGGATGGACCTTTGGTCTGACCCAGTATGGCCGTTCTTATGAGAACTGATGCTCTCAGGAATGGTAGGGGGGGAAATAGTGCAATAAAGATAATGGATTTCAAGAAGGCAGACTTTAGGAAACTTGGAGTTGATAGGTAAGATCCCATGGGAAGCAAGTCTAAGGGAAAAAACAAGTAAATTATCCCACTGCGTAGGAAAGCTGTGAAGTATGGGAAGAGACCACCATGGCTTAACCAGGAGATCTTCAATGATCTGAAACTCAAAAAAAGAGTCCTACAAAAAGTTGAAACTAGGTCAAATTACAAAGGATGAATATAAACAAATGCAAGTATGTAGGGACAAAATTAGAAAGGCCAAGGTACAAAATGAGATTAAACTAGTTAGAGATCTAAAGGATAACAACAAAACATTCTACAAATACATTAGAAGCAACAAGAAGTCTAACAACAGGGTAGGCCCGTTACTCAATGAGGAGAGAAAAAAAACCAATGTGGAAATGGCAGAAGTGCTAAATGACTTTTTTTGTTTCAATTTTCACCAAAAAGGTTAGTAGCAATTAGATGTCTAACATAGTGAATGCCAGTGAAAATGAGGTAGGATCAGAGGCTATAATTGGGAAAGAACAAATTAAAATTTACTTAGACAAGTTAGATGTCTTCAAATATTTCCTGTTAACATATTTAAGATATGTTAAATCTTAAGGAAAACATTTTCTTTGCATTTTACCGTCTCAAATACCAAACAGTAACTTTCCCTAATGTTTCAAGGACGTATTTGTTTTATTTTTAAATACAAGTTTAATCATTTTTATAAAATTACATTCCACTATTTGAAACCACAATAAAGGTTTAACATAGCAAAATTGGGAAAATTTGTGAT